AAAAGATGGTCTCGTCGAAATCAAATATCCTTTGTCAGCTGAGCATTTAACAGCAGACGAGGCTATAAAGACATTGCCTCAATTGAGAGGCATTTTTGATAGAAAAAATCCTGATGAAATGAATCGGAATCACCGATATTTTTATCAGGTTCAAGGGCATTGAATATAACGCAGCGAGATTACTGCATTTTTGTTATATGGACGCCAAAAGGTTTTAAAACGTTACGTATTAACAAAGACGTTGCTTGTTGGAAGAATAAAATGCTGCCCTATTTAACACGCTTCTATAATGAATGCATACTTCCGAAAATCTTGGACAACCGCCATAATAGGCATATGCCAATTAGAGATCCAAGATATATAATGGAAGCTAAAGAATAAGCATGCAAAAAATTTATTAGTCGAAAAACTAACCGACGAGATATAGAAAGAGAAAGCATCCAAAAGAGCAAACGATTAAAATCAAATGTTTTGCAAACTACTGCTTCTCTAGATTTGGAGCAAGATGACGATTGTGTCATTGTTAGTTACTCAAGTGACAAATGAGATTTAACAACAAATGATGTGGTGAGACATAAAAAAATTCTGGGTGACATGATTGCTCCTATTTCTTTCGTGAAAGAAAAGTCTTGCTTAGATGCAGCAAGTTAAACGACGAATCGTTGGATCGATTTTTACGCGTCGTAAGAGAAATTTCTGCATTTGAAACATAAAGTGTATTATATTTAGAATTACCTCATATAATCGTAGCTAGTCAGAGCAATAAGAGCTTACAGATCATTGAAGGTAATTGCAGTGATTATTGGCGATACATTTTCCTCGATAGCACCAAACTTTGAGTGTACGACAGTTTACCTAACTGTATGTACGATAAGTTGGTAGCTAAAGAGAAAAATTATATTCATCGCCGTTATCCGCAAATAAGCGAAAGTAACATCATTTTTGAAAATGTTGATACACAACCGGATTCCACGTCTTGTGGAATTTATGCTGCAGCTTTCGCTACAACTATAACATTAGGCGGAAATCCTTGCGATGAAAAATACTCCAAGGATGTATTATGCATGAGACAACACTTTTACAAAATTATAGAAGGCAATAGACTGTTGCCTTTTCCAAGGCGAGAAAAAATTATTCTTAAAAAAAACCTCAAATAAATATCTTCGAGAGAAAAGATGTCTTGATGCAATGTTTACAAAAGTCGGGAAGACGAAAAAAAATATATTGGTTGCGTTCTCACGGGAATGGGCGATGGAGAAGCCCATTCTATATTCTCTTTTATATAATATTGTCGTGATATATTTTATTAATATTTGTAAATTTATATGTATCATATTAAATTATACAAATATATAAATGATTATGTAATACGGCTAAGAGTTTGCATGATATACTTTTTATTAGCCTTTTACTTATATCGATTCGAAAAACGAATCGTACCGAAGAACGAATACGTATAAATTATACGTATAGTTTACATAAAACAACTTTTGTAAATATATTATTTGCATGTTACATACAATACATACAAATTCCTCTGAGAATACATGCACCGAAAGAAACACAGCGAAAACAGTGTGAACCATATTATAGAATTATATTCTAAATATGTATGCGACGAAAATAGATATCTATGTGCTGTTAAAGCGTTTGTATACTTGTACAGGACGATAAAACACTAAAACTTCAAGATATCATGTCTCAACATATAGAATGCAATGTAAAAGGCTTTCTACTTTTCGCTGCGATTTTTATGTGTGTTCTAAATGATTACTTTATATATAGACTATATTTCGATATGCATTGCGAATATTGAAGATCTATAATATATATTATGTATACTATATGTTTTCATAATGGGTATATTCAGTGGAGAAAACCGCTCAGTGAGCGGTTAGTGACTATTGGTCCTTACTGTTCCTTACACTCAGACCAATAACGTTGACGAATTACTCAACAGTTGCGCAACTGTTGAGTGTGTGAACGCACCCAATGTATATTTTGGCAATATACATCGGAACGTGTCTTTATGTACATATCGATAAATGTCGATAACGGAACTGTAAGTGTCGGTATTATCGATATTATTAGTTCCGCTCAGATGAGGGCGCAATCGCGTTGGAGTTCGGTCGCCGCTCCAGGATCCCCTTAAGATACAAAACATTTTTTCAAACTTGCTTTTTGTTAGAAAGATTTTTTTAAAGATTTATCTCACATATATCTTTCAGTTGGCTTTTTGTGTTACCTTCGTATCAAATTCTCTATTTTTATAGAGAAGAATATAAAATTGGCATTATACAAATAAAACAATGTATGGCACATCCACATTTATAAAATTCTTATTATTCACTTCTAGAATTTCTTTTAGAATCAAGTTTTATTTATCTATGAACAGATTTTGTAAAATTTAAAGTCCATTAAAAATTTGTAAAACGGTTAAGAATCTTAAAAAAATCATTAAAGACAAAGACAAATTATTTGTATCTACAAACATTTTCAGAGTCTAAACTCAAAACATGTTCTTTACATTTGAAATTTTGGAGAAACCAATATTATAGTTCTCCAAGAAACCCCATATTAAAAAAATTAAAGGGTTTTAAAAAAATATTGTTGTTAAATTCTATTAAGTTGATTTGGCGTATAAAATATTTACTTCATAGATTTATCCTAAGCTATTAAGAAAATTATAATGAATAATTGTATTGGTCCACTAATGCGCACACACGTGAACCTGTCAATGAAAATAATCAATTAGTTATTTGTATTTTTCTTGGTCTTTGTAAAATTAGAACTCATTGTGTGTATAAAAGCATTTAAAATTATTTAGATATTCATCAATATAACCAGTATTTTTATACAATATTATTTTTAAACATATATCAATACTTAAATACTTAAATTTAAACATATATCAATACTTCAAGAATTGAATGTAGAACCAAAATAAGTATTATTTAAATAATTTAAATAAAAAAATAAGTATTATTCAAATATAGATCGTTCTATATTTGAAATATATGATGTGTATATTGGATTCCCAAATGATTGAATATTTTTATGCATTTTAGTAATATGAAATGCAGCTGATGATCCAATGAAAAACCACTTTTTCAATTAATTGTCAGAAGTACTCTCGTTAGATCGTCGATTACTTTCTAAATTGTATTCAAAAGATGTACAAACCATTTTAAAATGTGTATAACATATAAAAATTTTATTTTCCGAGTTATAATAGATAACAGAAAATGCTCCATATCTTTTTCTATTAGGTCAATCGGGAAGTTCCGTCCGTTTTCTTGCAAAACGTATGGCTTTATTTAAGAAACAAAATGAAAAAGTACATCAATCAAAGTATTGTTCATCGTTAGCGATGACTTCTTCCTATCTTTCGGTCAGCAAGTGAATTTCGTGGCGAAAGAATGACTTATCTTTGGAGGCTATACAGTCAGAGACCCATTTTTCGACGTTCTCATAAGAATTAAAGCATTCCTCAGCAAGTGCGTGTGCCATCGACCGAAACAAGTGGTAGTCGGAAGGGGCACAGTCTGGTGAATAAGCCGTATGGGGTAACACTTCCCAGCGATGTGCTTCTAACGTTTCCTTGACAGATTTTGTGACGTGAGACCGAGTGTTGTCATGAAGCAAAATCACTTTATGCTGTCTCGTTTCATATTCTCGTCGTTTTTCGTACAATGCTCGGCTCAAACAGATCATTTGTTCTCTGTAGAGATTTGTGACTGTTTGAGCACTTTTCAACAGCTTATGGTACAGCACACCCTTCTGATCCCACCAAATACAGAGCATTGCCTTCTTTCCGTGGATATTCCGCTTTGGCGTCGATGTTGAGGGTTGGCCGGGATCGCAAATAGCTTTTCGACATTTGAAATTGTCAAAATAAATCCATTTTTCATCCCCAGTGATGATACAATATGAAAACCCCTTTCTTTGTTGCCTAAAGAACAGAATTTCGCAGGTGGTTTTTCGCCTTTCAGTGTCTCTTGGCTTCAGTTCATATGGGACCCATTTTCTTTCCTTGTAAACCTTTCCTAAGGCTTTCAAACGATCAGAAATGACAGATTGAGCACAATTTAATGCTTCTGCAAGTTGTTTTTACGTTTGACATGGGTCTTCGTCCACCAATGCCTGCAATTCTTCGTCTTCGAATACTCTTGGCCGTCCAGAACGCTTTTTGTCCTCTACATCAAAATCACCAATTTTAAAGCGTCGAAACCATTCTCTGCATGTTTTATCGGAAGGAGCATTATCACCATAAACTTCTACAAGCATTCGATGAGCTTCAGCTGCAGTTTTCTTCCAATGGAAGCAAAAGATTAACACTTCGCGCTAATGATGCTTATTTGGCTCAAATTTCGACATTTTCGATGCAGTGAAAAACAATGTTATTGATGCAAACGTATACTTTTATGTACTGAATGTTATTGACAGATGTCAAAACAAACTATTAAGCTTCGTTTCGACATTACAGGTTCACGATAGTTCTAGCTATAGCTACTTGTCGTTAAACGGACGGAACTTTCCGATTTACCTAATAGTTCATTTTCTGTTTTTACTATACATATCTAATCGAATTACAAAGTAGCTGAATAATATTAAATATCTCTTGAAGAATTCCAAATCTGTTACACATTTGTTGTAACAAAGAATAGGACATCATCAATGCATACACACGAAAACATCCTGTAGTAAGTGTTGCAACACTTATTTCGGATATTGTAATTTTATAACTCAACAAATAAAACTTGAACAAATTTTGCACATTTTCTTATTTCTTACTGTATATTTAATGTCTATATGTATTGTATATTATATATTTATTTTCTTCAAGTATTGACATGTATTTAAGAACCATTTGGTATAATTGTTAGAAATCTTCTAGAATCATAAAATTGATTACTTTCGTCATCATAATTATATATATATATTTATATATATATATCTTATGTATATCTCATACATATATATGTATATGTATATATATATATATATACACACACATAGTATCACCATTAATTACTATATTTACATAGATCACTGAGTCATACTCGCATATTTAAATGTACTTTAGACAGAATATAGATAAGATTCTTGTTTCGTTTTTGCATTAGGAGGTGAAGTAAACGGCGAAAACCAAGCTATTGAAAATCTGCCAAAAACTGCTTGAATTGATTTCCATCTGCTATTACGAACCCATCTAGCTTCTTCTTTTTTAAGTTGTTCTATACCCTGTACATAATATAACATGTTTTAATCTTTATATAGATATATATAATATATATTGCAATCTTTATATAGATAGAAAAATAACAATACAATAGGCTATATACGTACAGTTTCATCATTCCAAATAGCTTGCAGTTGTGTGCCTAACATCACAGCAGTAAAAATGGCAAATAAAAGTGCTTCAAATGATAAGAACAATAACAGCACCACTGTCGCTGGTGGATTGAATGTAGAACATTCTCTCCATTCTTGTCTAACACATGTAGTAAATTGTTGTATGCAGAGAAATAGAGATTGTAGCGATATGCCTGCTATATAAAACTGAAATATGTCATATATATATATATATATAAGTATAAGATGTGTGTGTCTGCATATCTTTTTTCTGAACATTGATATAAATTTGAAGCAACAGATAATAAAATAACTTAATACTCACAGTAAAAAGTACAAAATATTTTTGATTATTTTCACCCACACAATTATTAACCCATGGGCAATGATGATCCATTTTCCTAATACATCTAAAACCAATTATAACAGCATAATTGCATTTTTTATTTTTCTACGATTGTATATTAAGTTTTGTTGGAATACCTTTGGCAAACAGAACAATGATGTGCTCTGTCTGGTTTAATAGAACAACATTTTGGGCACTTAAAAATAACTTGCCCTTCTCTAAATCCCATTTGTTGTATCATTTCTTTTGTCGCATTACCTTTTGGTACTGCACCCTATAAAAAAATATATATACACATATATCAAACAATAAACAAGTTCAAAGGGCATATATTCAATCTATATATCAATAAATAATATTTTAACATTTTTCTAAATTACCGGATCCGTAAACATAGTTCTTAGATGCGATGCAAAAGCTAGGAATGCTAGAAATTGAAAAATAGCCATATTCAAGCTGGAATATATTGTGTTTATTGTAGGAATAAGAATGACTGCCATCACTACAAATTCGGCATAGATTATCAGCAACCATGTTAATACTGCACATATAATTCCACATATATCCTATAAATAGCAATATATTAGATTGATATTATATATCAGTATAAGTTACAATGATATATTCAATAGCAAGACTTGCTTTAATACACCATAATTTTCCACCACAACATTTATTATGAATATCTGTTTCTCTATGAAAAGGTGTATAATCATAATCCATTGTTTAAATTGTTATTCATTAAACTGCTGTATCTTTCACAAAATATAAGGTACCACTGATATCTCTACTTCTCCACTCACTGATTTCTATAATCACATTCCTGGGAAATATATAGTAAAAATGCAAAATGTAGATTATATGTCAAAGTTAGAAATTTTCAAGAAATAATAATGACCTACAAAATTAAACACTTACATTACTGTGCAATGATTTGCATCTGTAATGAGTGGCGTGGTTTGTCACAATATTTTATATTGTAGAGTCATATGTACACAGTATCAGTAATCGGTATAAAAATTAACTTTTTAATATCATGCGTTATTTAATATTATTAATAATATAGAGTACACATAATATAATAAATATAAATGAATATTCATGTTTCATCGTAATATATTCATTACAAATATATAATCATATATAATGGAGATAATTTGTATTGTCAACAAGATTCAGTTTTCTTTCACTATCTATCTTTGCTTAATATTTGTAATGTTTAAATGCTATATGAGCGCAGAAAACGCGATTTGACAATCTCTTAAATCATGTAAGCAATCTAAAAATTCTAAAAACAAGAATGATATAGAAGTCTGTCGAAATCCGTTCGAGCAGTTTAGTCTTATGTTAAAAGCAGAGAGAAGCTTGAGAGCAGCCACTGAGCTAAATTCCGAGGAACGCTTCCTTCCAATGCGCTACCTGAGAAAATACATGTAAACTATGGTCGTCCTGATGATAACGGCAAACATGTATGGTTTTTGTTCACTCTATTTCTGTACAAAGCAGAGAGAAGCCTGAAAGCGGCCACGTCGACGTTTTGGCCGACATGAATTTTCACGACTGATTTTAACGCCATCTGCGCCCATTTGTAGCCGAACTACGTTGACTACGTCCATTTGCAGACGCTGCCGTAAAGTCTTTATTTTTTCCATGGAGGTATAAAATAACGGGAAGGAGGATATACCACCATGGCCTAGCCAAGCAGACGTAAGGGGGGAACAGTAAACGCCATATTGGTGTGGCTTATAAACGCGCGACATTTGAAATAGTGATAAAACAAAAAATGGAAATAATATATTTTGTTATGTGCAATATAATACATTAGTGAATGTAAAAATATACAATACAAATGTAGTAAAATAAATTAAAATGTACATGTACGTAATATTTACGGAGTAAATGAAAGGAAGAGAAATTAATTTACAGACTATTTTTATAGTTTATAATTATGGTGTTATTTTCATACTTTATAATTATGGTGTTATTTTTATAACACCATCATTTCAAAATACTAACTAGTAAAACAGAAAAATTATCTGAAATGAAAACCTAAAACATATTTATTTTCTGGGTCCTAATAACATTAATTTAAGTCTACATACTGATTTTCGAACAAAGTAAATATTTTATTTCAATGAAATATATAATGTACTCTATTTAATGAAAAGAATTTTAATTCGAACAAATATTAAAACAATATAATAATAATATAATAATAATACGGTTTTGTTTCTTGCACTTTTTGGCGAATGACATATAATTTCTAGTGACATGGTTATATTCTCTATATTAGTTAATATCGTTTCTTGGAACGAGGAAGATTTTTATTTATCATTCAGAGAATCTATTATAAAAATATACATAATGATATTATTATTGTTTCGAATAAAAATTATTTGCTTATTGTACACACTATTGATTACTTACATGTAAACAGTACTTGCCTTTCATCAATCGATGATATATTTTCAATTGATTGCAAAGGTAACCTATTTGTTATATTAATATGTGCTTCATGTTGTATCTTGCCACATATATCTTTGGATATCTATAAACATTTATTTAATATAAGTATGTCTTATATTTTCTTTTAAACATTGTATCAATATATATATATATATCCTTTACAGAAATTTAAAATATTTAAAATACGGTAATTATATAGAAGACACCCCTCACCACAAATATCAATTATCAATACACTTACATGAGGAATGGCATTTTCTCTCAATCTCACACACGCAGACGAAAGTTGGAGATAGATTGGGTGTAGCCGAGAAGAAAAGTCATATACCATAATGTCAAATTGGCAATAGTTACCGAGTTATTAATTAAAACATGTGAGCCAACGAGCACGTAGAGAGCGGAGGGCGGCCGCAGTAAGCACATAGACATTTGATACAGGCGGAGTCAGCGAGTAATGGTAGGCAAGCGCGCGCGGCGAGAGGCAACGTAAGCGACAAGAGGCGATCGCGCGCGACGAGGAGCGAGCGAGCGAGCTTTTTCTTTATAGCTTTTTCCTTATAGCTCGCTCGCTCGTTCTTCGTCGCGCTCGCTCGCCTCTTGTCACTTGCGCTCGTTCGCTCCTCGTCGTTCGCGCTCGCTCGCTCCTCGTCGTTCGCGCTCGCTCGCTCCTCGTCGCGCGCGATCGCCTCTTATCGCATACGTTACCCCTCGTCGCGCGCGCTCGCCAACCGTCACTCGCTGACTCCGCCTGTATCAAATGTCTACGTGCTTACTGCGGTCGCCCTCCGCTCTCTACGCGCTCGTTGGCTCACATGTTTTAATTAATAACTTGATAACTATTGCCAATTTGACATTATGGTATATGACTTTTCTTCTCGGCTACACCCAATCTATCTCCAACTTTCGTCTGCATGATCAGCTATCAAACACCCTGTATATATATATGTATTCTATGTTGAAAATTTAAATATTTGCATTAGAACAAAATAATAAGAATGTGCAAGTTTAATGACCTATGACATATGTATATCATATATGCTAGTATATATAAATTATAAATTAAATTAACTCTATATATATTGTTACGTCCCGTGAAATTTTATTGGATTCAATAGAATTTGTTTGATAACGTGGATATGACTATGAGGAAAGCGCCTCTGTACGGAGAACAATACACGGTTTGCGAAACACATTGAACGACATAGAGGAAGACAAATGTTGTTTTATTCACGTGGGTATCGAAAGGCTTACTGTGATCGGATGGCTGGAACGTCACTGTTTAGGCGTCCGACGGAACGGGAGAAGGAGTCCTCGTACGTGCCCGCGTTCCTCCCAGCTGAGATGATGGAACGTCGAACGCTCACGATATCGCATTCCCGACTTCCGAAAGTCGCATCTGTCTTTTCTTGTACGAATTAATTAAGAAGATCGAGAAATTGGTTGAAATCACGAATACACTTGGTTGCAACAATTGTAATGAGAAAGAACCAGAAAGAAAAAAAAAGGAGATATACGAGAATATGAGAGACCGTCACGAGATGATGGAACTTGAAGATTCTCTAAGTATAATAGTTAAGGAGAGACTTGTGAGCACGCGTCCGAAACGTGTGACGGCCTCAACGAGAGTGAAGAAGCGGGCAGTTCGCCGACGGGCGGAGGGGTCCTTCTTCTTTGTGTCGGATCAAGAAGCAAGTTACTCGATACCCGGATGCAACAACGATAAGAACCTCGCCAAAGTGTCGTCTAAACAGTTCGGTTATCTTAGAATGAAAACGTTTACAATTTTATAGTCAACCGCGGGTGAAAATAATGCGGCAATCGCGAATTTAGGTATGACGCGATACAATGATAGGCCAAGGAAGCGTTCCTGGCAAATTCGGCGCAACAAGTTTAATAATTTTAACGGAGAGTGGCAAACGGGGGTAGTACAATTTTATAGTGATAGGTTTTTACTTCTTTACACTATATTTCTAACGCTTTGATCTAATAACCGGATAATATGTAAAGTTTAGCGAGATGTCGGATGAAAGAAACAAGATGGAGAATTACGACGCGATATGCCTTGTCTTCCATCCGAAATCCCTGAGAGCGAAGTTGGGCCGTGCTGCTGACGCAAAACAGTTATGAGATTCGTAGAATCACAATGCTTATACTGCAGAGTTATAAAGATAACGATTAGAAAAGTTGTTAACGGTTATAATACAACTTTCCCACACTTAGTGCTTATTTTTATTGTTAAGAAGCAAGAGATGGGGAAACTGCATAGTCTGTCCGCTATGATAAAAATAATTTGGAATAATAGTAAGAAATAATAGCCAAGCCCTCGCGCAACCGGGCTGTTATTCTTGAGACTACGTAAGCAATGATAAAGCATACGCGCGCTGTAGAAAACGGCGTGTCAAATTAACATAAAACAGAAGTGCCGANTCCACATATATCCTATAAATAGCAATATATTAGATTGATATTATATATCAGTATAAGTTACAATGATATATTCAATAGCAAGACTTGCTTTAATACACCATAATTTTCCACCACAACATTTATTATGAATATCTGTTTCTCTATGAAAAGGTGTATAATCATAATCCATTGTTTAAATTGTTATTCATTAAACTGCTGTATCTTTCACAAAATATAAGGTACCACTGATATCTCTACTTCTCCACTCACTGATTTCTATAATCACATTCCTGGGAAATATATAGTAAAAATGCAAAATGTAGATTATATGTCAAAGTTAGAAATTTTCAAGAAATAATAATGACCTACAAAATTAAACACTTACATTACTGTGCAATGATTTGCATCTGTAATGAGTGGCGTGGTTTGTCACAATATTTTATATTGTAGAGTCATATGTACACAGTATCAGTAATCGGTATAAAAATTAACTTTTTAATATCATGCGTTATTTAATATTATTAATAATATAGAGTACACATAATGTAATAAATATAAATGAATATTCATGTTTCATCGTAATATATTCATTACAAATATATAATCATATATAATGGAGATAATTTGTATTGTCAACAAGATTCAGTTTCTTTCACTATCTATCTTTGCTTAATATTTGTAATGTTTAAATGCTATATGAGCGCAGAAAAACGCGATTTGACAATCTCTTAAATCATGTAAGCAATCTAAAAAATTCTAAAAACAAGAATGATATAGAAGTCTTGTCGAAATCCGTTCGAGCAGTTTAGTCTTATGTTAAAAGCAGAGAGAAGCTTGAGAGCAGCCACTGAGCTAAATTCCGAGGAACGCTTCCTTCCAATGCGCTACCTGAGAAAATACATGTAAACTATGGTCGTCCTGATGATAACGGCAAACATGTATGGTTTTTGTTCACTCTATTTCTGTACAAAGCAGAGAGAAGCCTGAAAGCGGCCACGTCGACGTTTTGGCCGACATGAATTTTCACGACTGATTTTAACGCCATCTGCGCCCATTTGTAGCCGAACTACGTTGACTACGTCCATTTGCAGACGCTGCCGTAAAGTCTTTATTTTTTCCATGGAGGTATAAAATAACGGGAAGGAGGATATACCACCATGGCCTAGCCAAGCAGACGTAAGGGG